GTGTATTAAGTGCAAGAATACTGCTGGGACTCCAGAGACATCTGTTCGGGAACTAGACTGAGGGCACAGATCTGCCACCCTGGGAGGTAGGGGTGTCTTGTCACTCAGGTGACTTCATTAAAGACACTCAATGCTTAAGGGTGCTGGGTGACAAGGCAAGGAAAGCACACCAAGAGGGGAAGGGAGCCTGTAAGAGAAAGAGCTGGTTCTGGGGAGTCACTGCCAACTCAAGGGGACACTCCACCAGAGTTTCTAGAATTCCTGGGAGAAAAGTCTGCCTCCGTGACCTCGGAAGGGGATCTGGAGAAGACTGTTTCTGCTGGCAGTCTCAGTTCAGTAGTGGACCGTGGATACTCTGGACTGTCTCTTCAGTTAAGAGGAACTGTGATGCAAGCCCGCATTTGTAGGTGTCTTGGCTGCACCCTCCCCCTTTAGACTTATCGACTATCTTTTACTCAATGGTATCTTCTGGTTTCCCAAACTTGACATGTTTTACTTTGTTGGAAATAAGCCAACTGTATCATTACCAAACCAACCTTGCAGATCAGGTGGTATCTGCATGCTAACACATGCTTAACAGAGTCTGGAAAGATCCAGGGCTCCAAGCAATCCCAGGGTTTTCTCTAGAACAACATAAATGGTGAAGAAATGCATGCTGATTAATGAGCCCATCACCCCCATAGAGGAACCCGGGGGAGACAGGCCTTTCCTTGATGCTCAGAAGTGTATTTCTTGATACAGCTGTTGATCACAGGGGACCACACTGAAGGCAGGTGATGGGTCCTGAATAGAACTCATCTGAACAGAGATCTATTCTGAAGGACAGCACTGTCAAAGCAGGGCAACAGCCACACCGCTACAAGGAAGACCAGTTACTGAGCCTATTAGTCAAGTAGCTGGGCTTGTAGAAATCCTACAAATACAACGCATCTATCTGAGTTAAAAAGGAACTACCTCATTAAAGTCTGCACAAGAGAGAAAACAGTACCCTGAAGATCATTCCCACATTACTACATGTGTATGCCTTGTGCCGAAAAACTCAATACTACTCTGAGGAAAATTATGAAGGGACTTCCTCAGCAAACACCCTTTATCTTCATGTGAGAAGCCTGGTGTTTCTCTGTTAAGGGAATGGTCAAAGCAGCCCACCCTTCCTGGACAACACACTTCTCTGTCCCCCTAAGGATCCCACAGCAAATTCTCTGCAAACAGAAGCCCCGTTCTAAGATAGCTCCCACGAAGACTGGCCTGACAGGTGCCCAGAACCTGGAGTACTCTGGACAATCTGCACTCACTCCTGAATCAACCTGAGCCCAAAAAGGCCACATCTCCACAAGACTGGTATCAGCAGCATACAAAGTCACACACAAGTGACCGAAGAAGTCTTCCCATTGTAGTGGCTGAGGAATTAGGATCTAATGGTTCTGGGAGAGGCTGTCCTCTATATTTTCCATAAGCTTTCCACAGATGTGCATCAAGGGTGAAAATCCTTGCCCCCATTCACACAATCAGAGAGGACTTGAGAGCTTTTTAAAAAGGTTCCACAGGAGAGATTTCCCTTAGGGCACATGCGAACTAGGCAAGCTTAGCGATGAAGCTTGCAGTTTCCTTCTAACAAGTTAGCCAACTTGAAGGCCTGCCAGTGGGTGGATAGGTACTGTGGGTGTGGTGTGAAGAACTCAGGTTTCAAAACCAGAGGCTCAGATTTAAATCCCAGTATCACTTCTCCGTCCTACGTTAGTTGCAGTATGGTGGCTTTTCTGTTGCTGTGATGCTGGAAGCTGTGACCTTGGTATTTCAAACACCAGTGGGGTCACTCATGGTAGATAGGGTTCAGTGGAGCTTCCAGTACAAGACACACTAGAAAGGAGGCCTTGGTGACCTAGTAGTTTGGTGAAAACCTCACCAGTGACAGTGAAATGCTGAACAAGGTGACTTTAACAATGTAGACGGAGTAAAGCTTTCAAGACTTTCATTTGCTGATGTGGAACCACTCAAAATAAGGTGTTAACGCCTGCAAAGATACATTCATTTAATAATCAGTTAATAAGTAAAATTTAAAAAGTATGAATTCTCCAAAACCTAGAAGCCATAAAGAATGGCAGAGAATGCATAAAGAGTGACATTCTAGGCTTCGGTGAGCTATGATCCAGGTACTGCCACCCTTGAACCCCTCTAACTGCAACACCTGGAGAAGCCATAGGGTTTCTTAAGCCAAAGAGAAGCAGTAGTGGACTTGCTGTTGTTTTCCAGAGAACAACACTCATCCTGCTCCAGGCCCTCAGACCTGCAGCCCTTTGGCCAAAAGGGGAAGACCAGTATTTAGATCCTTACTGAACATTGCCCGCCCTGGGACATTACACACTTATAATAGCCTAACATCTACCAAGAAAACAGTCACCTAATGTCAAGAAAGCAGTAGGCAGCCTCAAACATCATAAAAAAACAAAACAAAACAACCCTTTTTCTAGGCATGAGTAAGCTGAAAGAGGTGGGTTTTGGACATTTTGCACTGGATAGTCATATGAGCTACTATGCAGCAATGACAAGTTGAAGCGATATGGTGCTACCTTCACTGTCAAAAAGAACCTTTCAAAATCTATTCTAATGTGCAAAACTGTCAGTGATAGGATGATGCCCATATGACTACAAGGAAGACCAGTCAATACAACTATTACACAAATTTACATACCGAGCACTAATGCCCAAAATGGCAAAACTGAAAAGTTTTACTAATTTATGCAGTCTGCAATTGATAAAACTTGCAATCAAAACACACTGACAATTTCTGGTGAGTGGAATGTGAAGGTTAGAAACATGATGGAAGGCTCATCAGTTGGTGAATATGACCTTGGTGACAAACAGGAACAATACTAGAGACTGTGTGATACAATTTGCAAGAACAATCACATATTCATGCAGAAAACCTTTTTCAACAATATAGTAAGTGACAATGAATGTGGACCTCACAAAATAGAATTACCTAGAAATCAGTTGGCTCTATTTGTATAAAGAAATGGGGTTCAGTATCAACAGCTAGAACAAGGGCTTGGGCTGATGGTAGAATTCACCATCATGTAAGTTCAAGTCGAAGAAAATGGAAACAACTCTAGAAGGCATAAATACGGCCTTGAATAGCTCCCACCTGAATTTGCAATTTAAAAAGCAAATTTGACACATTCAATCTAACAGCTGAAGACCAAATGAGTTGTGTAATGAAATCATGGGCATCATACATGCAGAAAGGTCATTAAAAAGAGAGGAAAGAATGAAAAGACCAAAATAGATGACAGAAGAGACTTTTGTAACGTGCTCTTGAACACAGATCAGCTTAGTTCAGGGAAGAAATGATACAGTGAACCAGGTGAACAAAAGGTTTCTCTGGGTAACCTGAGAAAGCAAATGGCATTTAATGAAATGTGCAAAGATCTGGTGGTAGAAAACCAGAGGAGGAAAGGTGCATGTCATTTCGTAAGCTAAAATAACATCAACAGCAAAAATTCTGTTCCAACAGAATGTGGAAATTAGCCAGCAATATTATTACTTTCATGTGCAAGTAAAATATTGCTGAAGACGATTCAAAACCAGCTGGAGCAGTGGACTGACAGGGTACTATTAGAAATTCAAAACCAGATTCAGAAGAGGGTTTTGAATGAGGGATATCACTGCTGATGCCAGATGAATCCTGGCAGAAGAAGACCAGAAAGAATGTAACATTAGGATTGGAGAAAGACCATTAAATTACTTGCTATATGCAGATGCCACAACTTCACTTGGAGAAAATGAACACTCAAAGCACTTAGTGATGAAGATCAAAACGGCTACTCCCTTCAGTGTGGTTTACATTTCAACAGAAACAAAGATCCTCACAACTGGACCACTAGGTAACATGATAAATGGAGGAAAGGCTGAGGTTGTCAAATGAATTAATTTTTACTTGGATCCACAATCAACACTCATGGAATCAGCGGTGACGAGACCAACCTACCTATTGCCTTGTGCAAATCCGCTCCAAAAGACCTGGTTCAATTGCTTAAACAATCCCTAAAACTGGGTGAAGGCTAAAGTGAGCCTGATCCAAGCCACGGCATTTCCAAAGCAGGAGAAAAACTGGACAATGAATAAAGAAAACTGAGGAGGAACCGCTGCCTCTGAATTCTAGGGCTGGTGAAGAATATTGTATACACTACACTGATTGCCAAAAGAACAAACAAATCTGTCTTGGAGAAAACACAGACTGCTCTTAAGCAAGGATGGTGAGACTTCTTCTCAGTCTGGGGCGTTTTATCAGAAAGGTTCAGGCCTTGGAAAAGGGCATCATGCATGTTAATGTGGATGGTCAGAGAAAAAGAGGAAGATGTTTCATGAAATGGATTGACCCACAGGGTCCAACGCAGCAGGACGGGGGCTGGAGCAGGGCTGGGGCGGGAGCAGGGCTGGGGGGGGCAGCAGGACTGGGCAGTGGTTCGTACTGTTGCACGGGTCTCGGGTTGAGTGGGAGCTGACATGCTGGCTCTGAATCGATTCTCATCCATCCCACGGGGATTACACGCATCTCACAAAGTTGCTGCACGAACTGGAGACAAAATGTGCATCACGCCAGGGCCGGTGCCCCGCGCTGAGCAAGAGGCTTGCCCGAGGCTGACACCAGAGCGGCATGACACGGTATTTCCCCGTGATGATGGGGTACCTGTGCCCTCCACGTCCCCTGGCTAGGCTGCGAGGTACCAGTTCAGCCCGTTCTACGGATCGGACAGCCGCGTCGAATGAATCTCAACCGGGAAGAGGCGGGGTGCCGAGAACTGCCGCCCAGGCTCCGTGGGGACGCCCCGCTCCTCCCCCCGTACCCCGCTGTCCCCCGGGGCTGGCCGCCTGCAGGTGCGCGCATCGGGCGCCCGGTCCAGGCCCGCGGACGCCGGGTCCAGGCCGCAGCACCCAGCAGCCTGCGCGACCCGGGCCAGGTGGGGCGGGGACACGCCGCCCCCGGGGCCCTGGCTCACCTGCAGCCGGTGGCTCTTGACCAGGTGCATGTTGAGCGCCGGGCTGTTGGGCAGGATCTTGCCGCAGCCGCGCACGGTGCACAGGATGTTGGTGCGCACCGCCCGGGACAGCTCGCTCACCGACGGCTGGATCAGCTCCCGGGCCGGCGGCGCCGGAGCCGCGGGCGGCG